CCCGACTCCAACACACCTTAGCCGACGCTCATGACACCAGCGCATGATGTAAGCCAACATTGTGATGATCCTCTCAAGGAAGAGGTTAAAGAAGAGGATAGTGGCAGCGCAACCAATGAGACCATAAAAGATTAAGAATATTTTTCCAGCTATGGTTGCTGGTGTGGTCATGCCAAAGCCTGGAGAAGAGACACAAAACAGAAAAGGTTCAAAGGTCAAGGTGGGTAAACAGTACAATTTTGGAGTCAGTATCACATAAGGATAGTGTAAGAACTTCTGGATAAACATCACAGAAAAAAAAAGCTTTAAGTCTTACCAATAGTGGAGACCACCGTGCCCACAAAGTAGAAAGCTCCAGAAAAGTCCCAGCGGGGCCTCAGCGCATCCACTCTGATCCCGGCTCCGTTTGCCTCCTCGTACTGCCGCAGCAGAGTGTGCAGGGCACCCAAGTTGACCCTGTATCTCTGGGTGAAGTTGTCCAGCTGTTGTTTCCAGAGGCGACGGGCACGCACCTCAAAGGGGTATTCCAGGGCTGAGAAGATGGCTGCCCCGCACAACAAGTAGAGCAGGATGAGCCCAGCCAGCAGGCAGAAACGGGCATTGTCTTCATTCATGGGCGCCCTGGGGCAGCAACAGCCACCGGCAGTCCTCCTCTGAGCCATGAGCACAGCAGCAGCACAGATACACCACTGCACATGCACCGCCTCCACCGGTGCTGTCAGGTCAGACTCACAGCATCACCCACCACACAACATGCATGCACTGGCTATACAGAGCGCTCTTGGTTTCAACATACAACAATACATTGGCTCTAAAATTGCACACGCATGGAGGAAGTTACTGTGCTGCTTTAGTCTTTTAGGAGGAAAATATGCATCTGAAGAGAATGTAGCCTGTAAGAAAACAATAAAAGACATATATTAGTAGTAATTACAGAGTAAATATTTTAAATCCATTTTATTTTGCCAACTTTATTTCTTTCTTTTATCAATATAGAATTGTTTCAGTTACAAAAATCTGACTGAAAACATGCTGCAATTTGATTACATCAGTATAAGAAAACACTATATTCATGACAAACATTCAGGTCTGTAGCAGTTTATATGTAACCCACTCAAAGATTAATTATTTAAAGTTTGAGGTAGCAAAAAACAAAAACAAAACGACATAGTACCTGGTCTCGTTGACAGCAGTGTCCGCTCCCTGAGCGCTGCCAGTCTGCAATGACCAGCGAGAGGAAGCCTCTTGAGTTTTTTTTGTGCAAACTGAGAGGCTGTCTGATGTTTCATCTGTCACACACTGACATCATCATCCCCTGCCCACTCCCTCTTTCTTTGAGCAAACACTGATTGGTGGAGCACTATTCCTCTTTTCCAAACCTTTATTACACCTCAATTTAACGTAAAGAGCTACAGGTGACAAAAGGTTTGCCTGATATAATTGGTCCTTTAATCACTCAGCTGTATCAATTCAGCTTGGACCAAGGAGTTTCAAGTCCTGATTGAAGTAAAGCATCAACCTTGATTCTCCTCTGCCTCCGAAACTAATGTCTTGCAATGGCCTAAATATTACAGAAATGTCACGTCTCACCAGTTCAGCAGGATAAATCTGTGCAGGAGATAAAAGCAGAGATTGCCCCTTTACCTGCACCACTACAGAGGTACCCTTGTGCAAGGCACTCAAACTCTTCTCTTGCTAGGTAGCCTGCACATCAGACTGTGGTTGTGCTGTGCAGCTTCTCGCTCCTCTCAGAGGGCTTTTTGTTGTTGCTGCAGACTGTGTGGGAGGATTTGTTGAGCATGACTTTCAGTTTCTCTGTCTGTTCATCCCTTTAATCTCGTCTGGTGCTGCAGGTAAGGGCAGGGGTTCCCTCTGCCTACCGTCTGATGGCTGAATGACAGAAGCAGGCAGGTGTGGAAGACAGAGAGCACATCTGCCTTCATCTCACCAGTCAGTCAGCCCTGCATCAGGTGTTGAACTTTAGAGTTTGATTAATATTCGGGTCTGTTCAGGTTTGCAGCACTGCATGTCTATAACGTTTGTATATTTTAGTATGTGAGTAAGTACATTAGTAAGTAAGTACTGATATCTGGAACAGGATTACTGTACAGTGTATTTAACTATAACAAATAAACAACTCCAAACATGGCACTGGCACAAAATTATTAATGTATTTCCCTTTCAAGCACTCTCAACCAATCTTTGTATGCAATCAATTAAAATATAATCTTTATTCTTTACTTACTCAAGTCAATCTGCAATTTGTCAAACTGGTTGTTTTGTTCTGTCTGATGAGTTGTATGAAGGTGAAAATGACAATCTACAATCTTGATGTTTTCAATGATCCAAAACAGTAAAAAAACATCAAATGCCATCAGCCTTCATGTCTCAGAGGAGGACAAAAACAGTCATTCATAATTAAGGAGAGTTCATTCAAATTTTAAAAAGTCCATGTCATATTGACAGTTTATAGTAGCATAAACTCTCACTGGTCTTTAAATAGACAAAAGAAGAAATATTGTGTTGTAATATTACTCATCAATTTGCTGATACACATTACAATGCATCAGATAACATTTATCTAAAATTGCAGAATTTGGATCTTAAAGGGGCAGTTCACTCCAAAATCAAAAATGCATATTTTTTTACCTGTAGTGCTATTTATAAATCAAAATTGTTTCAGTGTGAGTTGCTGAGAGATTTCTGCCTTCTCTCCAATATAATGGAACTAGATGTCACTCAGCTTGTGGTGCTCAAAGTGCCAAAAAAATACATTTGAAAAAAATCAACAGCATTGTCTCTTTCCAGAAATCATGACCCGGTTACTATAGATAATCCACAGACCTGGTTGTGAACAGTTTCATGGTGCTAGGTGAGCTAGCAATAGATGCATGCTTCCTTCTGTGCTATGAAAAGGTTGCTATGTGTGATTTAGTAGAGAGAAAATTGTTCCTACAGTTTGCAATTAGCAATTTTGTTCCATTATATCTGAGATATGGCAGATATATCTTCGGCCACTATCTCCAACATTCAGCAACTCACACCAAAACAATGTAGATAAGAGGTAAACAGTGAAAACAGCCTGTCTGCAGCTGCTAGCTGCCCTGTGAGGCTGTACTTAAGCACAACTGTGCTTTTAGCTAAATGCTAATGACACAATGATGTTTAGCAGATAAAACATTTACCATTTACACCATATTAGTTTAGCATGCTAACATTTGGTAATTTGCATTAAGCACAAAGCGCAGCTCAGGATGGTGGCAATGGTAAATGGACCGGCACTTGTATAGTGCCTTTATAGTTTTTCAACCACTCAAAGCACTTTTTATACTACGAGCCACATTCACCCATTCACACACACATTCATATATACTGGTAGCCCAGGCTACCATACAAGGTGCCACCTGCTACTCAGTTTTTAACACACACTCACGCTCTAATGGAACAGCCACCGGGAGCAAATTGGGTTTCAGTATCTTGCTGAAACAGGCATTTGAAGGTATTAAAGCCTTTGGAAACACAGCTTGAAATAGTAAAAATGCATATATTATATCAAAGTTGAGTGTCTCATTAATCATCCACAAAAGTCTGAGTGAAAATAACCATTCATAACTATTAAAAAACCTGGTTTAAAAACAGCTCATTTTGCTGTTTAGACCACTTGCCAGGACAGAGTGGGCGTGGCAGATAACTGTGATTGACAACTCCCTCGTTTTGATTGACATCTCCCTGGCTCAGCAATGGCTGCCACAAATTTAATCCTGGCGTACATGTTTGAGCCCTCTGATGATTCAGAGGACGAAGCAGAAGCTGAAAATGATTCCTTTCAGGTGGTCACTGAATGGTAAGTTTCAAAATGTTTTGTGATTCATATTAATGTTACTTCGTAGAATAGTTAGCATAACTTTTACATGCAATGTTAGCTGAGATGAATGACAAAGGGAGGCTAGCGCTTTGCCTTTATTCAATGAGATACGTTTTCATTGAAAACATAAATCTGCTCAGTTTTTCTGATAATAGCCTTTTTCATTCAAACACATCCAGTCTTAATAGATTAAATGTGTCTTTACTCTGACACACACCGACCCTCAAAGCAGGAGAGACCGGTGCCGGCCAGCCGTCTCTCTGGTGTTGTGTAGAAGTATTTGCCCGCCTCGCATAATGTTCCCCTCTGGCTAAAATTGTGTTGTTTCCCGCAACATCACCTCCGCGATTGGGGATATGTTTATGCGTAGCAAAGCTAACTGCTTGGGGTTGGGGTTAAGGGTGAGGAAGGGTGCACATAAAGTCCACTCACCGAGAGCCGACACCAGCACCAGGCCCGGGGGGCAAGCCCGGCCGCTCACAAGCCGCCTCTTCCTGCAGCTCTACGAGCTGCAAAGGCTCGGATTGTCCAGGGTCTGAAGCCGGTCAACCTGATTTGAGTGCTGCTGGGAGCCCGCCGGAGGCAGAGTATAAGTATTGGACAATTTAAATTTTGACTTGGTGGTGTTGCCACTTCATTGCAATCCAATAGTCAACCTCATGGTAATTCTGGTAGAAAAGTCAAAAAGTCATTAGGGTTCACCTTCAGAGGAGCATGAATGTCTGTACAAACTTTTGGGTCAAACCCATTCAATAGTTTAAGAGAAAGTGTAGTGGTGCTGCCAGCATGACTAAAAATATGTCCCGGTTTTTTAGCCCCTCATAAGTAAAAATACAAGACTGAAGATGATATGAAAGCTAATGTGAAAATTACACTATAAACCCCTTAAAACACCACGTGCAAAGGCATAATCTTGTTGGACCACAAGGAAAAAACTATTATTGGTCTCAACTATTATATGTAGTTGGACTCAAAACTGCCACATAACTCGAAATTGGTTACTAGTCCCAAAGCATAGTGTTTTTTTAATGGTGAAATGTAATCCTAAATCCAACACATATGATTTCACAGTCTAATGTAATGATAATCACAGTTAAGCAAACAAATTAAAGAAATACAAGAAATACACCCACTCTTATGTTTTAGCACCATTTTAATGACACAGCGTGACATTATCATCTCAAACCAGAGGGGGCAGCCATATCTTTGGCTTATAATTGCTTGTGCTATCAGAAGAATCAGACGTCTCCGGCTGTGGCTGGAAACTAAGATGGTGTCTCTTACAGAGTACACTTGGTGTTAGTGGCAGTGCAGTAGAGGTGAGTGTAGGTCTATTCAGTGGTCAAACTTTACACGGCTCAGGTAAAGATGACCTTTAAATCAATGTTGTGGGCATGATGTACTGTAAAAAAGATTCTGGGAATATTTACTTGTTAACACATTTTGCATAATGTGTTGTTACTGTAATCATTCACATCTTCCATTTTTACACCCTCATAGTGTGTTTTCCAATAGAGGCAATTCCCTAAATTCTGACAACTCAACCATTTCAGTCTATCGGCAGTCACTCACTTATGATGGTGAAGAAAGAATGAAAAGTAAACTTCCACATGTCTAGAGTAGCCTTCAGGTCAGTGGCAGCATGTTGGCGAGTATCTCAATGAGGTTGTCCAGACCCCACAGGTAGCCATCTTCTCGATTACCTTCTACCCAGGGAGTGCGGTGGTCCAAGGTGAGGTGTGTCGGCAATGCAGCTGTCTTCCCAAAGTCAATCATCCAGACTCCTGTTCTGCCTGTCCAGTCATGTACAAACAGTAAGGAACTGCCCACAACCTGCAGGGACACAGCTGTTAAGAAAAAAAGTCCCACCACTGGACAAATGTGTTATATTATCACCCTATTCCTGCTACACAAGCCAACCAAAAATGAGCACCATAGATCCCCACTACAGTGGTTCTTTCCTTCAGTACACTGTTTAACAAAACTGTCCCACATCTAACCTCATGTGATCTGAAGAAGTCTGACGCCTCCAAGACCTGCCGTAGTTGTTTCAATCGTCTCAGATAGCCCCACTGAAGGGAAAGATACAAGACTTACAATTGTGTGGAGGAAAACAAATGCGCAAGTAAATGAAAGTCAGCGAAGGTCACACTCACCATGATGTGTGTATTGGATTCGACAAAGTTGTCCAGTGCTTCCATCACCTGCTCTCTGCTTTTGGTCCTTTTGAAGTTTGTGTGACACTCTCCATTTGACTTCTGCACAGGAAACGTTCAGGTTACAGCATGAAAAATTTGCAGCTAATAAACAATAAAAAGAATTCAGTCAGTATAGCAACATTTATGGAGATTTTACTTTGGAGCTCACCCTGAATCCTTCGATACGGAATCCAAGAGTTGTTGTGGAGCTCAGTGTCTCCCTCCACTGCATGTACCTTGTTTTCAGCACCGCCTGCTGGGCTCGTTCCTGTACCGTTGGGGCCTCTGGGTCCACAGCCACCATCTTCTTGTACATGTCGTTACGAGGCTGGGGCCGCTCTCTAGCCAGCTGCAGCTCTCCCTCGAGGTATGTGCTGTAAAGGGCAGTGCTTTACTGTTATTGTGACAGGAGCATATTAACTGTATTAAAAGCCACTGACACTGTGAAAAAGTAGAGCCTCAAAGAGGAACATATTGCTTTAAACTAAGCATTTTTGATTAAGTTACTTGGCTATCTAATATTTCAATGATATCATTTTTGATATTTAGGATATATCCAAAACTATAAGGCCTCTTGGAGAATTGCTGCTGCAGTATATATCTCCTCCTTCAAATCTGCCTGAGAGAAAACTCCTTCAACTGTTCTCAGTGTCAAAAAATTGCCTCGTCTAAGCTTACCGGCTCCCCATCTTGCAGTCCATGATGGCAGGGGAGTTGAAATAGGTCAGCAAGTTATCCATCATGTTGTAATCCTGCTCGTCCCGCTGTACCACACCGTGGTAGGCTGGAACAAAGGGCTTCAAAGTGTCTTCCATCAGCCTGAGGTAGCATTGTTGCTCCCTCTCACAAAACCTCTTTAGCAGTGTGCCATAATCCCCAACATGAAAGCTCCCTGAGGACAAGGAAGGAAACGAAGACAAACCATATTTGCTCCATTACTTACATTAGGGATTTTTTTCCCCCAAATTAGACCCAGTAAATGAATGAATATTGAAACTATTCACACAAACCTGCATGACCGACCACTTGCAGCCACTGGTGAGGTTTCTTTGGAGTCATAGGGAGGACAGGTGAAGTCCCACAATTTTTGTGTGTCTTCCATGCAGAGTTCTGCATGGGAAGACAAAAAGACCTCAGTCAGTCATTCTTTAGCACACACACACACACACACACACACACACACACACACACACTCGAGGTCACACTCCTCTGCTGCCTGTGTTTTACTGCGTCTTCACAGACAAGCAGCAGACTTCAGACTCAGTCACTCGACTTTTTGCCTTATGGGTGAACAAGGTCTCCGTGGAAACAGCCCTTCGTCAAGACTGAGTGAAGAGAGGACAGGGTTGCCTCTGATCTTGTGCAACAGGTTCATTAAACATTTACAGGAAGCACTTGTTTTCTACTGAAAGCTGCTATTAAACACCAAACAGTAAGAGGCACACAGATGTTGACAATGTCGACATGATACAGATGGTTTCAAGTTCTGAGATTATGTTAAAAATACACAATTATGACAATCAATTTGTGAACTGGAGGAAAATGCATCTACTGTCAACTTTTGTATTTATCTCATTAACAGATGCCAAATATTTTCATTTGCAGTCGTGGTAATTTAGAACCACTACACTAACATTTCAAGGAATTTGTCCTTAAATACCTTAAAGACTTAAAGACTTAAATCGTATTTTATACTTCTACTCGACTGCATTCTGTTGGGTAATATTGTACTTTTTTTACTCCACTATATTTATTTGTCATGTCAAGCTATTGTGGTTACTTTTCAAATTAATCAAATACAACAAGTGATTAGTTTATGAAGTACAATGCACTGTTGGCAGTGAAACTATTAAAAGTATATAAAGCAGTTAAAGTTAGCTTCACTTTGACCAACTACTACAGTAAAATGCTGCTTACAAATTAATGCAAGAGCTATTATAATCCCATAACATACACAGACCCCATTTTTCTATAGAATGTGGCCGTTCACTTGTGACATAAAAGTATATTTAGCATCTTTATAGTACATCTGCACAAGAAATCTGACTCTGTTTTTTTGTTTTTGCTCTTAATGTACATACACAGCAATATACAGACATACAGCTACAACAAGGGCCACAAAGCTGAACAAGATAAACAGACATTTGACTGTGACTGACAAATATATATATATATATATATATATACACACACAAATAAATATATAAAAGTATCTTTACATCCAACTATCGATCTGTCTATCTAACTATCTGTCTGTCTGTCTCTGTCTGTCTGTCTGTCTATCTACAGTATATAATAATGACACAATGAAATTTGTAAACATTAATAAGGTAGTGAAATGGTGGAAAGTACTGCAAAATGGTGCTTGAATAAATATGGAGTTATTAATTAACAGGTTGCTTTATACATGAGGTAGGCTGATATGACAGTATATACAGTGTATACAGTGATGTCTATATTTATACTGATGGTGATGATATTAAAGAGGAACACCACCTACATTAGGAATTCAAATATCTTATTTCAGTGGCCTAGGACAGTTCAATCACTGTTTGTGAACATGAGCTACACTCACTCATAGCTAACACCAGAGGTGTAAGTGTCAAACTTGTAAAGTAACAGGGTATGAAGTCTGTAGATGCTCCATCGACAATAAATGGGGGACTGATTTGGCAGATCCGCAGAATGTTTGTTTTCTTTTCTATACCCAAATGAGCTTTAATCCATTGTAGTGTTCTCAGTCCTGAAATAGGGAATGTATCCATATACTCAGAACATGCACCTGGGTGATCTCTGTGTCATCTATAAGATCTTTCCCAATTCACTGTCTATGGAGCATCTCCAGTCCTTTTACCTTATGACAGGGTCTTCAACATTTTTCAGGCCAAGGACCATCTTAGCTGAAAGATGGTCCTTGGCCTGAAAAATGTTGAAGATGGTCCTTGGCCTGAAAAATGTTGAAGGACCATCTTTCAGCAAAGATGGTCCTTGGCCTGAAAAATGTTGAAGACCCTGTCATAAGGTAAAAGGACTGGAGATGCTCCATAGACAGACATTTTTCAGGCCAAGGACCATCTTAGCTGAAAGAGAGATGAAGCGAGGGACTCCCTAATTCATATATTGTGTAAAACTGAGTGGTACTTGAGATAATTCTCAGAATATTTTCAGGTTTTCTACCGTTTGTGCCAGCCTGTAGCTGCCTAACTCAGCAGCAGTTGTAGCATGGCTACGTGCATTAGCTTCACCTTCTGCTCTGTTGCTACTGGTTTTTAAAGTGGACAATATTTGAGAGTTCCTTTGGAGAAAAGTTACAAAACAATTCATTGTGGCTCACAAGAATATGCATACACTTGGAATGTTACCAATTATTACCAAATGTGGAAAAAAAAGGTGACACACAGTGATTTAGCATTAGCCAGCTCATGACTGCACAAGGATTCATGGGTAACAATAAAGGGGCATGCATGGAACCATCAAGAATCTATATGGAGAGCTGCCTGGGTGAGCGAGATAATAGTATCCAGGAGAATGAGACTAGTCGGTCACTGACAGAGACACTGGAAGCTCCCAGCCAGCAAAATGGCACTGTGGGAGCCAACACATGGACATAGTTCACAAGGACGGTCCCCTATCAACATATGTGGACTTCCTTAAGACAGATGCAGGAGCAGAAAGCACTGACAAGCACAGAGGATCGAGATGACTGGAGACACTGATGGAGGGCTCGTCTGAGGAAATGTTTGCCTATCATTAAAGTTGTGTACTGTGAATTACATGGGTTTTATGAATAGGCAGATGTATCTGCGCCAATAATATGTTGCATTCATGTTAATATGTATTTAAAAACAAACTTAAATCTAAATTTAAATTATCAAGCAATAATTTGGTGGCCTCCCTGCAGTAACTCTGAGGAGCCCCTGGGGGTCGTAGACCAAATGTTGAAGTACCAGGGCCTATGACATCACAAATAGTTTTAGCACTCTAGTTTTTAGATTTGGGAGACAGCTGTTTATGTTTACCAATACTTTTGGGACTGCCATAGACCATAATAATAACATACATGACTTCTGAAAATGGGTGTAGTTCCCCTTTAACGTGCTCAACAACAGTGAGTATTTAAACTATGAAATATATAATTTAGTGGTAAATTGGCTGCTTGGTGTTATAGGGTTATTGACATGGATTGCTCGTGACACTGTGTGACTGATGTTAACTGTTAATCAGAGTTACTGCCAGTGAAAAAATTGTTTTTTATCTATAATTATCTATTGTGTGCCTATATCAATGTCTAACTTAAATCTGTCAGATTCTGTTATTGGGGATTAAATGGTGAAGCACTTAGATTGTTATATTGCTACGTATATCTACAACTTGATCCACCACTATTGATTTTCTGCATCCTCTTGCTGTAGTGTGTGTTCACGACCTGTGGAGGGCAGCGACACGCCTGAGAGGCGATGAGTCTCCGTAAAGTTGGAGCAGAAGAAGAAGCAGCAGAGCCAGAGCAAAGTGAAGAAGAAGAATTTAACGGTTCCCGGTTGTTGAACCGCTCCCGTCTCCACGGTGCCGGTGGCTTCCAAATTGTTTTGGACTGTATTGTACCAGTGGCACCAACCAAGCGGCTAGCTGCTTCATGAACTTCACCTAGCTAACGCACCGAGTAGCTATGTGTTGACACAACTCACCTCATTACGGAGCATTACTACGACCAAAGGTAACGTTAACGTATTATTGTCTGGTGTTTATTCGCACACTGAATAACATTAGTTCACATACAGATAGCTAGCTACGAGTCAGGGTTACTAACTTGCGTGACCCAGCGCGAACTAACGACAGTGTCCATGCTAGCTAACCTTAGCTAACGTTGGTCAGTAAACGTTACTAGAGCTAATATTGACAGAGAAGTATAAGATAAAGTAGCGTTATTAAGCTGTATTTCAGAAGCCCGCGACGATCAATTTAACAAAGCTAACCCTCAACCTTAACGTTATTTTTGTGAACTAGCTAAATATGATACCCCCAGCGTCTGTGTTTTCTGTGCATGGACACTAAAAGATGGGGTTAACACAGATTTTATGTCACGGTCGCTTTCACCCTGCACGGGAGAAAGTGAAGTCTAGCGCGGATCAACAGCAGCATTGTACCTTAACAAAAGAGACACGGTTAATAACTTACCTCGTAAACATGACATAAGACATTTGCAGACTCCTCGACATATGACATGACCAACCAACCAGAACTTTTTTTCAATAAAAATGATGACACCTTTTGAAATGGACTCGGTCAGCTCGCTACCGCCCCTCGCGGTGTGTTGTGATGACGGCAGACTGTGTGAGGTGAGCCAGGTGAAATAATAAAGACAGAATAGTGATGGACAGGTTTAACATAACTGTGCTAATGTAAGCGTCAGTTTGCCAGCTCACCCCCCGAAAAGTTATATCTAAAGCTAATTTTAAGATAACAGACATCTGTCCTTTTCTATTGAGGCTGTACTCCCGTGTTTTTACAATGGTTACAAGGTTTTTACAACTTGGTTGTTGTGATACTGAACAAAATTATTATCTCCAATGTCAAAGTGAATGCAAATCTGCACAAATCAATCTGTATGAAGTACAAGTAGAACAATACTGTGAGTAGAAAACAGGACATGCACATTATAGCTGATTTATTTTTAATGTGCCTTTTAGGCTGGACAGATGAAATGCTCAAATTTTTGCTTGTATTCTTTTGATGACTGATTTTTACAGACAGTATGGAATCTGTTTCCGATATTTCCAAATATGTCAAGACGTTTGATATGATGTTAATAGCTCCATCTGGCTCTGCTTGGAGGCCAGTGATCTGAATCCAAATCAGGGTTATAATCAGGCTTTAAATATGTTTTTTTAACCATACAGGAGCTTGTTAATTATCTACTAGCAATACCCCGCTGTGTTTTTGAACAGTAAAGGAGTCACATGATTCCAGTTGCTTCTTTTTCACAAGAATCATTTATTTCCCCTACACAGACCCAGAGCGATGGAGGAGGGCTCTGAGGTGATTGAGGATATTGTATTTCGAGGAGTGGAGTTCTCTGTGAAGATTGAGCTGGACAAGGGTTTGCTGATAGTAGAAATCTCTGACTCAGTGACAGCAGATCAATGGAGAGGGGATTTTGATCCAGCATGTAAGTTACATACATTTATTATAGATTACATATCACCACAGGCACCAATAGTCTAACTTGCACTATTTGTTCTGATTTGTTTTCCAGACATTGAGGACCTCACTCGCAAAACTGGCAACTTCAAGCAGTTTCCTATTTTCTGCAGCATGTTGGAATCAGCTGTTAGAAAGGTATATTTAAAGGTGCATTCGGAGAGAGTGAAACAAAATGCAGAGGTGGCACAAATACATACAAAGTCAATAGAAAGATGTGAGCAGACAGAGATTTGCTCGAGGCTGTGTGAGCTGAGGCGAGACTCATCCATTCGAGTTCAATGTTTCCACTTGAGCGAAAAATGTACAGTTAGCCCGAGCTGTCTTATTCCCTCTCTGCTTTTCATTAATGTTTAGAGCAGGGGCCAAAAGGAGAGGGCCTGGAAGAAAACCAGAGAAACAATTGGAAGTTTGGGTCCATTTAGGAATTGGTCTCAACTGGACACTGTTTCTGCAAACATCAGCACTGTCTTTTGGCTAAAGCCAAAGTAAAATATGGACCCCAAAAACAGTCAAAAATGTGTGTAAAGGGTAAAAAACAATTTTTATAACAGTTGTATCTAAATACACCTTGAAGGGAAACGCTGGTATTTTTTAAGCTATACCCTAGTTTCTCATGTTTTTGTGTCTAAGTGAATTGGGGAACAACAATTTTTGAAACTGGTCCAGTACTGGGAGAAAGGGCTGCAGCTGACAGCAGCAAGGCAGGCTCGGGGCAGCTGTGCTCCATCTATGTCCACTAAAAGTCCTTGTTTTTGCCACTAAGAGGCTCAGATTGTTATCATGAGTGTCTGGTGATATTACAGAAAAGACCCTACAGAGAAATAAAATATCTTACACTTGTTCTGATCTGTTTTGTGTCCAGGTGTCACTAACAAGAAGCCTTGTTCTAAAATCTCACAAGGTGAACTGTTGCAGGAAGAAAACAGTGGAAATACAAGTGACAGTTGGAGAGGAGTACCGGTAATAGTTTGTTGTGTTGGAGTACAGAAAGTGTAGCTTTCAACAATGGTTTTAACAATAGGAAAAAAAGTCTGCTAGATTTCAGGACAAGACTTCTCCTTTAGCGAGACTTGGACACAAAACATACCGGAACAAGCGAAAGGTAAAAAAAATAATAATTAAAAAAAAAAAAAAATTAGTTCCTCTGTAGGGTCCTTTACTTAATGTTGTAAGACACTCGTAATAACAATCTGAGCCTGTCAGTGGCAAAAACAAGTGCTTTTAATGGACTTAAATTGACTGTGTACACCTGCCTCGAGTGGTTCCATCGCAGCCTGTTTTGCTGCTGCTGACTACAGTGCTCTCGTTCAATACTGGAGCAAATTCAAAAATTGTTTGCACAAATCACTTAGACACAAAAACAGGAGAAAATATAGAATTACCCTTTAATATGAAATTAGATTCATGAAGACAAAAATACCTAATTGTTACTATTTTTTTGTTTAAATGTAAAAGAAATGGTAAAACAGTCATAAATCAGGAGGCCACCGTCATAAAAACATTTACAATTTTTACAAGTTTTTTTTTTTTTTCTGAACTTGATTGCTAGTCTGTTTTATTTCTAATGTTGCAAAGTTAACTTGAGCTCTTTCTGCAGATGAGTGACTCTGTTACACTTGACCTCTTGACCTACGCTGACCTGGAGCTGCTACGTAACAGAAAAGCTGGAGTGGTTAGTCGTCCTCGCGGCCATCAGCAGGCATCTGCTCTCACTGCCAAAAGATATCTAATCCTCATATATACTGTAGAGTTTGACAGGTTTGTGTATCTGTGGCAACATTCACAGTCACATATTAAACATAATTTTGTTTGGCTCCAGATTTAGTTTTTCAGTTATGTTTGTGGAATGAACTCCTGATTTGGTGGCTGTTTTGTATTTGTAGGATACACTACCCATTACCTCTGCCCTATGTGGGTAAGCCTGACCCGGCTGCCCTGCAGAAAGAAGTCAGAGCTCTGAGGGCTGAGCTCAGCACCATCTCCTCCCATGGACTAAACAAATCTGCAGAACTAGAAATACAGCGGCTACGAGCAGAGTAGGTTTCATTTCATTACCATCACTGAGACCAATATGAAGAGCTGTCAGACTTTTTCTTTACGGTCTCCTACTGTTTTCAAGGCTGGCTCGGGTTAAAGAGGAGAAGGAAGCCATGGCTAAGGTTCTGGAGCGACTGCAAATCGGTGGAAGTGGTTCCACATCTGGACAAGAGGACTGGAGAGCCAGAGATGTGGTGAGGACGCTGGAGGAGCAGCTTGTCAAGGAGAGGGCCAAAAGTCAGCGCTCGGCGAGCAAGAGATGCCAGGAGCAGCGACTCCTAATGGAGCAGGTGGACCTCTCCTGCTTCTCAAAGTAGTCAGCTGAAAAAGATTTATGGTATTTCCTTTGCTAATCAGCTGTTTGTTTTTTTCTCCTGTTCCGGCTAGTTGGAGGAGCTGAGAGCATCAGAGTGCGCTCTCCGTGTCCGTGTCAAGAGTCTCACCAGTGAACTGGCGTTACTACGAAGAGGGTTAGACAATCTCAGCATGTACTATATCTTTACTTTCTCTCTTTTTCATTCATTCACTGACAATATGAAGTAAAATTGTGAATTCTGATTATTATTTACATACTTACTGTGCACTCGTTGTGTGGGTCTGCAGCAGAGTGACTCCTGTGTCCGGTCGCATCAGCTCTCGAGTTGATGGGGAAATCTATCGCTCGCTCTCCCGTGAGAGGAGGTCAGGGTACGGGACAGTCAGGGCCCGCTCAGGATCCAGAGAACGAATGGAGAACAGAGGGCAAAGATTGGAGGAGAGGGGAAGAAGAGCAGACTCGTCAGGACCACGTGCTCATATACCCAGGCCGTCACCTTCTCCCACTGGTACTGGCTCTGCTCATGATGTTACAGGAGTTTGGTTGGCCTTTTTATTTACTTAATATGATGATGTTTATATCTAAATATTCCCACATACTGTCTTACAGGGTCTCGGATACAACGCTTTGATCCAACTGCTTACATCCAGGACCGACAGCGCAGACAGAAAGAGGCCGAGCTCAAAAAGTTGGTTTCCATTATTTTACCCTCGACAACACAGCACCGATATTTGATCTGCTCGGAAGTAGTTTTAACCCTGTTTTCTGTGTCAGACAGAGGAAGGCACGGAGGGACATGCTGACATCACCCATTGTCCCTGAGAGAGGGCGTTCGCGTTCCAGAGAGGCCTATCCTCAGATGACCCGCTCTGGCAGCAGAGGCAGGAGTTTATCAGTGGAGCGGAGAGGGAGCAGGAACTCCTCTGAAAGCTCGTTAGTGGATATGGATGAAATGGCCAAAACTCTGTTCAGGTGATGTGCGAAGGTGAACCTGGTTTTGTGAAATATCTGTTTAAGATTGTTATTTTAATGTGTGTTTGTCTGTGTTTACAGAGGAGGGAAACAGACTTACAATGGACCCAGTGTGGTGAGTGACATGGTAAATAATCAAACTCTCATACACTGTTGCTGCTTTATCATTTGTTTCTTGAAAGAATAAAGTTGGGGTTATTCTATATTTTTGTCACAGTACATAAATCCAATGAATAGACCAAAACCAACAATGCATTTGCCCGCCTCTCAATACTCCTTGACTTCCCAACTCCGTCTGTGGCTCACATTCTCAACCCAATTCTTAGAGACCTCTTTAGAACAAGTTGCAAATGTTTTGTTTCTTTTTTTTTTTTTTTAAATTCCGTAATTTCCTTAAACATCTGGGCACTGTATTTTTCAGCTAAACTTACTCAAAAAGGAATAAGTGATGCATGTGTTAGGGACATCTGTAGATTAATTCACATTTGATGTGAGTGCAGCAGCAGGCTGGTATAAGCTTGCCTGGGAACCAGACGAATCTGCAAGCTCATGTTTTACTTGTCTGGTCCTCCTCCGCTTTGGACAGATGTCCAGCAGTCTGAGATGACCTGGGCCAATCGCTACCTTTATCTAATATGAGGCACATTTGAGACAAAGACAGTAAAGAGGAGGGCTGTTGAGGCATTTTTGAAAACAATTCAGGTGGCTGTAGCTGATGTGGAACTTTATGTTGTTGAGGCCACTATGCATCAGTATTGAACAAACTGGACATTATATTTGCACCAAAAGGAGAACAATTAAAGCTTTTCTTGAGAAGAAAAACATGTTTGATGTACTTCTGACAGCATTTGGAAAAGTTCTATAAACCAACTCATTATACACCAGTTCATCTCTGAGTGCTGTAGTCTGTTCGAATTTTCTGTTGCCCAGGCATTTTTTTCCCCCCTTGACTTTGCACCAGGCGAATGTGGTCATTGGTCACTCAGCACTACAGCACATGTTGATAATGTCCCTTAGGGTTATCTATATGGTAACCCTAGATTTGCGAAAACTCCTGCAAGATTTTTTGTTCCATGTTTCTAATGTTCATATTAGCCCAGACTGTGATTTTAACCAGACCTCAGGCACAGCTTGGTCACACCTTAAAGCAGTGAGATAAGAATAATTTGAAGTGGCTCGCAAGAGTTTCACAAATCTTGTGTTACCATCTAGCCACACCCAATCAGAAAAATGGACTGAAAGGTTCATAACTAATAAGCATTTGCAATTGGGTCTGGCGATGTCATACAAAAGCAGGATTGATATGGTCATCAAAAATAATGAAGGAACATGTCACCCAGTACAATGATGAGGCTCACTGATGTGTTTTTAATACTTTTTGAACAATGGGGCCCTGTGGCACAGAAGAATAAGCTACATTTATAAAGCATGGTTACACAGACGGTGCTCATAACTAAGATCCATTGATTGATGGTTTTGAGCTTTTAATAGGATTTGTTGACAATAAAAAAATTGAAGAATATCACCAGGCTTATCCTGCAATGTGCAATCTCTTATCTGTTGCTAGTCTAGAGGAGGCCTTTTGACCAGGAAGCCATTATGCAGCACTCCAACACACAGAACAAAAGACAAAGGTAATAATGAAAGTCTTTCACATTGTTTAATGCAATAAAATGTATTTAATTAGAAAAAAAACATCTTATCATTTTCATTCTTAAACCCCAGACAGCTCCATAGATACAGGTGCTGAGCTGTCAGAGATTGATGCCAGGCTGCTGGCACTTCAGGAGTACATGAGGGACCTGGATACAGGACACTAACAGCTACTGTACAACCTGCTGCACAGGCCACTCCATGTTAGCTGATAACTGCACAGCTTGAAGCTCGGCCATCTTTTTTCAGACTGAGGTGTGAGTGACGGGTTCACCACACTATACCTGTCCATGTAAGAGACTAAAACTCCATCTGGAAGATCAGAATTCCAGGACTCAAGGAAACTATAGCCATCACTGTGAAGGACTACTTTTTGTGGACAGAAATTATTTTTTTTAATGTACCAAGTTTTTATTAATTAACTTAAAAGATTACTGTGTCTGAGTAGGGATTTTTTTTAACACCTCACCAAACCAACTAAACGAGTTACATGGACCTTCAATTGGCAGCACCTCCGTCCGTAAGAAATTCTTTTCACCCTTAATTCACTCGTCAATGCTTTTGTTCCTGTCTTTGGTCAGTTATCTGAGAGCACAACACTTGTGTTCATTAGTCGTGGAGTTCTCTCCCTTTTAAGCCAAACCACTTTTTTAAACAAAAATGTCAACGCCTGAGTCTGCATTTTCACTCTGTATGTTGTGATGTGTCTTTCCTGCTCGACTTTACTGAACATTACCCATGCATTTGAAGCATTACAGTTGATCCCATTATACAACTTTTAATTAGTTCATCCACACAGTGCATTAAAATGTAATTAAATTTTGTTCTTAAACTGAAGTTGACCTGGTTTCCCTTTAAGGTTATCGCCCAAAACTTAAGCATAAAAGATAATTATCTTGGATAACACTTGCTTAAGGTAACAAGACTCAAGATGAATTAGATGGACTTAGGATATTTGTATGTATGTGTACACAAATCCACACCACTCTGATGGTGATCGTGCATGCAAGAGTATGCACACCAGTCTTTTTTTATGATGGTGAAACTGCCAAATTTTGTATGAACTGCTGTTTGTGCACAAAGACTATTACTGTTATTTTTCCCCAGACCAATGCCTTTTATACCACCTAAAAATATAATTTATAAGAAACCTATCCTGTGTGGGGTTTTTTTTTTCCTTACATACATGTTGTGCACAGTTGTGTATACAGTGCTTCCCTTTGCACTACTGTCAGGTGAAGGAGAGCCTGAGGGAAACCTGGAAGGGTTTACACCACTGCAGCTGGCTTGCTTTCATTAATTAACAAAAAAAATACTTGTGGGCATGGCGCCTTCCTCTCAGGGGAACAACTCAGTGGCTGAACAGCTGCTCTGTTTCTACCAGGATAATCGGGAGGGAGACTGTGGCGGTATATGTCATGGAAGAAAGTGCATGCAGCACACACTGAAACTGTGTAGGCAGCTACACATATTCACAATAAAGCTACATATGCATTAAATATACATATGATTTCAGAGGACAGTATTATTAAACACAAAGTAAAAAAAAAAAAAAAAAAAAAGAACCAATTTCTGTTATTTTGGTTATTTATTACGGAATTATAATGAGTGGTAGTAAACACATAACACATAATTGTTAAACACAATGCAGTACCAAAACATATTAAGGTGAAATATTAAGGCATGAACAGTAACCTGTGCGTCAACCAACAAACTCAAATTGTTTTTGGTATAAAGCAGCGAAACAGCTCCCTATAAAACTCTGTATAAAAGACATTTTACAGCTACAAGCGATGTGGGAGTTAAAGTGCTCAAAGTGTTCCTAAATTGTCAGTGCATGTGAACATTACCGTAGTGGATTCTTGAAATCCTAAGGATGACACTTGACTCAACTCTGCTGTCATGTTGCTTTGAGGATATGGCAGCTCTGTACACTTTGTTTTTCATATTGGTTAAACATACATTCATTTCACAGGTAGAGCAGCGATGAAGAGCAAAGGCGTCACATGATTGTCTTGTTCAAGTCTGTCCAGGCTGGGTCACAGTGGTCACGGTCACCTGCATCGCTTGAGTCCTTCTCACGTTCAGTATGGCCTCAATGCTGCGTATAAGCTATGGAGGGATGTGATGGAGACATGAGAACGAATATTTATACATACAGTTTATGTACACACATACATACGTAAAGATGACTTACTTTTTGCTGCTTTGCAAGAACATCTCGATAGAAGGCCTGTCTACGTTCCTGCTCCTTCTCATCACTCACTTTCCAAACCTGTGCTTTGTTCTTCAGCATGGCCTCAGACAGCTGAGGATACTGTAGCCGCTGTAACATAAACACACACCTGGTTACACACAGAGGGTTCAAAGAACAACTGATCTTAACTTTAACATAAGGTTGATACTGCGAGCAATTTGCATCCTGTATGATCTGCCAAATAATTTGCTGCTATGCTTTATCAACATGTAAATATATTCAAATTCTCATGTACTCATACAGTGAACTGATAGATTATTTTATTCTGCATAGCATGTCAGTCAAAAGATAACCATAGCTAATGTACCTCCTCAAAACTCAAACACTCAGGGTATGTAGAGGAACATGCTTCATACTTAAACAACTATACTACTCAAGATGTTTCTTTTCTATTTAAATCACAATTCTTACATAGTTTCAACTGAGATGGGCTATGAAGTTTACATGGTTGAGACACACCTGACTGCAGTATTATTTAATGAAAATATCAAAGAATACAAAACTTGAACAGGATTCCTGCCTTTTTGGAAACCGGGAAGTGAGACAGGAGTTATATGGCTAACCCTTTTAATGCCTGATGATTTTGGAGAAATCTGATGGTGTTGACAAAAAAATCTTGACAGACCAACATTTCTCCCAAAAATATTTTAAAACAATGATGATTATGGTAGTACATTTTCACACCAATATTATCAGCACATACTTGACTACTTTGGTACTTTGAATTAATGAATTATTAATTAAAAGGTTTTAATACTTTTTAATTATTTAAATTGAATTAAGTTGTGAATTCTTGTCTGAGAGGATAGTGTTTTTTCTGGCACAGGGCAAGTTTAAAGTTTATAAACAAAAGCAGAGCAAAATATATATATATATAGATATATATTTTTTTTTTCATACATAAAAATCCTTTAAAACATATGTTTCACCCAAGAAAGGAAATTAGTGTGTTAATAAGTTATAATTCCAAAGCTGTTTTGGTAGGATATGATTTGTCCTAATTCTCAAGAACGGGTGCAGTACATTGCTTAGCTGTGGCAGTACTTCTATCTGCTTCTCCAAACACAAGACAATCAACTTCATACAGTACTTTGTGAGATTGATGAGAGTGATTTATGTTGTGATAATCTGCAGCAGTGCTTCAACAGTGAATGGTTAAAAATCAACACTAATCTGTAAATCATCCTCTATGCAGAGGACACCTTGATGTGGTCTGATAATTTAATTCAAGAAATAAGAAAAATGTATGATTAGAAAAATAATTTATATTTCTAAAAAATACCGTCAGTGACTTTAATTTACTACTGTGAGTTGAGTTCATTACTTTTAAAACTATCCTAGAGTGTTAAATCTTTTTATTTACCACATTACTATAAGACTTTAGTGTCACTCACCGATTGCAAAATGTAGTCCTCGATAGGGTAAGAAGTCACACGGGCCATCTCTGTGAAGGCAACCGCTACATTTGCTCTGCTCTCGTTCAGCAGTTTCTGCAAAGACATGTTATATGTCACATGTGGTGTAAACACAAACATCACCAGCAGACAAGCTATATCGATGCATACCACTAGCTCTTCATTGGTCTTCATATCCAAGGGGTTCTGGCTCGAGCTGGCTGGAGCTTTGGAAGACTGGAAGACATTAACACAGAGTAAGTACACAGAGTTATAATATGAAATACTGTCCATAAAGAATAGGACACACAGTTTTACAAGACAGAGCCCTGCTCAGAATTATCCATAGCATTTTACCTCGGCCTCGTACTCAGCCCAGGCGTCTTTGCGTTCTGCCTCACTGAGCTCCTCCTCTTGTTTATGGTCCAGCAGAGATTCATGCTCGTGGAAAGACACTATGTGGTCTTTACTGGTTTGTAATAGCTGTCCCAGGACCTTATCCTGACAAAGACATGTTTAAGGTAATTCAGTACAGCAAATTCATCATGTAAGCCTTTGTCAGACAGCTGTGTACAATATTTACATCAAATACCTTTGGCACAACAGTGGTGCTTCTTTTGCTTTTCTTAGAGATTGGGTCGTCCAGCAGGTCTGGCTCAAATGTATAAAGTTCAGTCAGTTCAGAGAGGGTGAAGTGCCTCTCAATCTGCTGCTGATCCACCACTCGAAAAGACAAAGACTGCTTGGTCACCTGACGATCATAGATCTTCTCCTCCATGGTGCCCTAAGATGTGAAAATTATGGCGATAATAAACAGCACTGACAGGTTTATAGCTTCAGTATAAATACAGCAGCCCCAGGAGACCCATGTCCATTAAATTGTTTTGTACTGACCACAAAAAAATAAAACTATCCAGTATTTCTCAAGAAAGAAAGACAATGATTCGAGGACATTCAAAACGAAATGAACACAAATTAATGCAGCAGAGGGAACTTATTCACACCTGTTCTTTGGATCAATAAAGCATTTTATGAACCTCAAATTTATCTGATTTAAGGTACACATAGTGCAGCTCAAGAAGACTTGCATTTTGTGCCCCAAACACACAATGCTACGATACATTTCTGTATGCTTGCTTGGCTTATTTTTGCACAACAGATGACAGCTGTATTCAGGGCAAATTCCTACTTAATGAATAAGCAACTATTCCTGACAGTAAGTGCACTACATACTATAAAGAGACAGATCAGCTCTTTTGAAACTAGAATGCACATCAGCTCATGTGACTTCAATTAAGACCATCTATCACATACCCCTGGTGTGCACTTTATACATCAAATGTTAAAGTGATATTGTTACAACATGGTAACATCTGTTATTACTAAACACATTTTACTATAAGGTTTATCAAAACACTAATATTTTAGATATTGATAAAGACCAGTGAGCGTACCTGAGCCAAGAAGCGGTACACAAACACTTGTTTCAGCTGACCAAAGCGGTACACCCTGTATATGCTCTGTATGTCATACGAGGGATTCCATGAGGCATCAAAGATGATGACCCTGTTAGCAGCAACGAGGTTGATGCCCAGTGAGCCGGCTCTCGTTGAGATGAGAAACAATCGGCCGCTAAAATAAAGATCAATAAAATACAATCAGAAGAGAAACTTTGTCATCACACTGTAAAATTCTGTCTTGATCTTACTGCAGATGAATCAATAGACAAAGCTTGAAATAACAGTCATGTAATCTGTACCGAACATTGGCGGTGTTATTGAACTCTTCTGCCCACTTCTTCCTTAACAGAGCACTGGTGGAACCATCGAGACGATAGTAATCAACATTTTTAATCCAGCTGCCCACTGTCAGAACAACAACGCACAAAAATCAAAAGTTAAGAACCATTAAGGAGGACATCCTAATAAATTAATATTTTGTTTGCCATAAACAGAATACCTTTGGCTGACGATGGGTGTCTGGCATTGTGAAAAGCCTTGAGGAAATCCTCAATCAAGTCTAATGAGATCAAGGACTGACTGAACACAAGCCTAAAAATGCCACAAAAAAAATCGGACCAGTCAACATCTTAACATGCAGTCTTTCTGTGTTTAAATTGGCTTCACATTGGAAAAGAAACATACACTTTATCTTCCAGATCTTCAGCCATCCTGAGAATCTCAAACAAGAGCACCATCTTCCCTGAGTGCTCCAGGATTTTGGCGTCCTCTTCAGACAGCATGTTCTTGAACCAGTCCTCGTTGAAAGTCTGAGCCTTCAGGCTGATGGGTGCTTTCTCTCCTATAGAAAATATAACACAGGTCAAACTAAATTAGCGTGCAAACTACAGGATCGCAGCCTTTGTGAACAGAGAAGCTTTAATACCTTCCACTGCTGGAACGCCTCCGGTCACATCAGAAATACCTGCTGCATTGCTGTCATCGTTATTCCCTTCTTGTCCTTCATTCTGTCTTAGTCCACTACATTAGGCAAAGAATGTGTA